ACCAGCATCGGTCCAGATCGCGCGCGGACGGCGGGGTATGAGCACATTTTGTTGGGAGAGTGGCTTCCGATGTGGCGAAAACCAGCGCTACGGGTTGTCTCCGCTTGTGTATTCTGCAGCTGGCGTGCGTAGTGTTCTGGTGGATATCATCAGTTGTTAATCCTTCATTACCATTGTTGCGTTGGAGAAAAAGATATCATATGTATCCTCCTCCACCTCCTCAACCTGCTGGTGCTGCTCCTCCTGCTCCTGCGCCTGCTCTTCCTCCTCTTCCTCCTCCTCCTCCTCATCATCATCCCCCTCCTTCTCGCCAAATTCCTATTCTGTCTCGTCCTCACCCTCCTCCTCCTCCTCCTCCTCCTCCTCATCATCATCATCATCATCATCATCGTCATCAGCATCAACATCAGCCTCATCCTCATCTTCGTGCTCCTCCTCCTCCTCCTTCTCCTTCTCCTTCTCCCCGTTCTCCTCCTGCCTCCTTTTCCTTCCTCCTTCCTTCTTCGTTCTTCCTCCTCCTCCTTTCTCATTCCTCCGTCTTCATTCCTCGTTCCTTCTTCCTCCTCGTCCACTTCCTCGTCCTCGTCCTCGTCGTCTCCTCCTCCCCCCTCCTCCTCCTCCTCTTCTCCTCCTCCTCCTCCTCCTCCCCCTCCTCCTCCGCCTCCCCCTCCCCACCCTCCTCCTCCTCCTCCTCCTTCTCCTCCTCCTCCTCCTCCTCCTCCTCCTCCTCCTCCTCCTCCTCCTCCTCCTCCTCCTCCTCCTCCTCCTCCTCCCCCTCCTCCCCCCCCGTTCTCCTCCATCCCTCTCTCCCTCGCTCCCTCCCTCCCTCCCTCCCTCCCTTCCTCGTCCTCCTCCTCCTCCTCCCCCCGCGGCGCGGGACGCGAGGAGCCAAGCAGGGGCAGCCGAACAAGCCGACCTACTGCGGCAGCAGGGGGCGGGCCCCGGGGGCAGGCGCGGGAGGCGGGAGGGACGGGTCGAGCGGGAGGCGGGCCCAGGGCAGGCCCGGCGGAGGCGCGGCATCTCGGCACACTGCTCACGATAATCGTGCCCCATAGGCGGCCATGATCTGTGCCCTCCCTCTTGGCCGCTCCCGAGCCTGGGAGAACAGGGCGGCACGGCGCCGCGCACTGCAGTCGGAGCGGGGGCAGAGGCACAAGCTAACCGGAAGCAGGTTTGCGACCAGATGCGGACCGTACACCTGCGGGTCCAGGCGCTGCCTGCGGAGGAGGCCATGGCCGACCTTTTGCGACCACTGGCGAGGCCTAGCCCTGTGGGTCCAGTCGACGCTGGCCTGCTCGCGGAGGAGGCCTTCGCCGATCCCTGGTCCAGTCTGCACGGTGCCTGCACGGCGCCGCCTGGCGAACCTTACCTACCCTTGTGGGTCCAATTAGCGCTGGGGTAATTATCGGACACCCCTGCCGGGGTTCATTTGGCTGTAGACATCCTACGCAATACGAAACTTGGCCGGCGTTTCAGAAGTTCTGGTTTGCAGAAGTACGGTTCACATGTGGCTGCCCAGCAGGCGATCAGGGGCAGCTGATTATTGATCCGCGTCAGAGAAGCCGGGTGCGAGCCGCTGGGGAGAGTTATTTCAGGTTTCTAGAGCTGGAGGCCTTGAATTTGGCACGAATGCAATATTGGCAGTTGTCTCTGGCAAGGGAAGATCATCCCGATCACGGTGATAGTGGTAATATTCGGGTTGCCAGGGCTGACAACAGTTTACCAGCAGCACGAAAATCTGAGGTCACCTTCCCCCAGTGGAGCCACCCCCTGTGTTCGTCTTGGTGCCACTTGCCAGGCCTCCAGTGGAGCGCTGTGTCCTATATCAACACCCGGCAGGGTGTGTGGCGCAAGGAGGGCACAGGCGCTAAGTGTGGCACCGCACGTAAGTAAACAAATCCATCACAGTGGGAGAGTACCCTTGTCGTCATCAGCATCATCCTCTCCCATCCCGCCCCCCCTTGCCCCTCCCTGCCTCCTTAGCCGCATACGCCTCACATTCATCCTCCCTCTCTGTCGTCAATTCCCCCCCGCCCTCCGCCTCGCCGTTCTCATTCCCATTCCTCCGCCCTCCCATTGCTCCGCATCTAAGACTTTCCCCCGCTCCACCTCCGCTTCCTCCCCTCGCTCCGCCTCCGCCTCCCCTCGCTCCGCCTCCGTTTCCTCCCCCTTAACAGGTGCCGTCGGGCCCGGGCATCCAGAGGCCCAAGGGGTGTCCCCCTCTCAGCCTGCGAGCGCCCTACTACAATGTTCGACCAGCCGTGTTTTTCTGTTTTCTCATAGCTGCATGGAGCGCAATGCCCATGATCTCAGCTAGTATATACGCTATTGTTGGAGGAGGGAGCTGGGCACTGGCGCCAGCCCGAGTGTACGGTTTGACTCTGCGCCCAATGCGCGCACTGTTGGGTCATATCCCAACGTGTCATCCATGCGCTGGGGAGGCCTCGTGTGCACCTCGAACAGCTACTGCCCGAAGGGCAGCCGATGCACGAAGGGAAAGGACCGCGGCGGGCACTGCCTCTTGAGGAGGAGGATGAAGAAGAAGAAAAAGGGGGAGTTAGTGGGGCAGGGGGGATGTCCGATTGCTTTCGTGATCTGAGTTTCAAGCTTCCACGTGACACCCCACGATTTCCAACCGCTCTCGCAGGAGGGCGATGATGATGATGAGGAGGAGGCGGAGGAGAAAGTGCTTGGGCGATTGGGGGGAATGCTGAGGGAGAGGAGTTCCCCGCTCGTCCATCCCAGTGTCCTCCCCCATCTGGTACCAGCTCGTATGTGTTATTTTTTGTCGTCCGCATACCTCATCTGCCCCCTGCCTTTTTCCCCGAACAGTGCTTCTGCAACTCAGGGCTCTCTCTTGTCGCACAAAAAGCTGAGCCGGCGCGCCGCCCCGGCCAGCGCGTGGCCGCCCCGTCGCCGCTCGTCGCCGCCCTTCGCCGCCCCCCGTCTGAGAACTGTGTGCCGGTCCGGAGGGCTTGTGGCCGCCCGTCGCCGCCGCACTTGGGTTGCAATTCTGATTGCACTGGGGGCGCGCACCAAGAAGCCATCTGCTTGTCGTCAGGATGCCCTGGGTTTCTTCGCTCCGCGCGCTGCGCGGTGACTTCCCGCGGCCGTCCAAGAGGCTGCTGCGTTAAGGGTGCTCCAGGTTTCCCCTCAGGTGCACTTCGCGCGCGAGTTCTCAGGGCTGGGTTTCTTGCGAGGGTTTCTTGCGACTGCGTCCGCACTGCATGCGAACCTCGTAGACTGCGCCACGTAGATTTTTCCTTCGTAGAATTCGGATCTACTCCCCCCTCCAGGCTTAACCGCCCATCTTGTCGTATTTCAGTGTACATACGATTATGCCCCATTGTCTATCCGAAACATGAATTCAGACCACCCCAGGCAGGCAGGAGTTCCACCCCCCTTCATCCTGAGCAACAACAACTATGCGCGCACATGTGTCGATCAACCATCATCACTTTTCAAACATATCTGGCGTAAAACGGGACGAAATGAACACGCGCGCGTCGTCGCGCGCATGCCGAAATCCTTCAGAAACCGATAGTTTCGTAGGGGTTGCAAAATTGAGGTTCACGATATGTATCATAATAATAATGATGAGCAGCAATAGTGCGAATAACGATAAACATAATGATAATGTTTTCGCGGTGTGGGTTTTCCCAAAAAATGCTCGAACGGCCTGGCGCGCGTGCTGACGCAATAACCCATTGCAAATGGGACGACGTGCGCGCGCGCGTCGTCGCGCGCGCATGCCGACATCTTTCAAAATCCAGAGGTTTCGCCCGGATTTCAAAAACAGTCTCCCGAAAACATATCAAAGCACATGGCTTTACAATATCAGCTTTCAGCAAAAAAAACCTAAGCTCGTGGTCTTGCGTATTCTTCAGGAAACCATCGGTTTGTTTTCATCATGCTCATCAGATTCTGCCAAACGGGCCTCTCGCGCCGCATGTCGAACTCATTCGGACGCCCTTGCGCGCGTGCTGGGGGGGGGCACGATCCATTCCAAATAACACCACACGGGCCATTCGCGCGCGTCGGCCACGCGCGCGTGTCGAACTCTTTGAAAAAGCTCCATCGCCGACGCGAGGACATCGCCATCGTCATCGCGTGATCAATATCGGTGCCGTCATTGGAATTGCCGTCGCCGTCGCCGCCATCGCCACCATCGTCGCTACTCTCATAGTCGCGTCTACAATTGTCGGCGTCGCCATGATGCCGCGCCCGCCCAAGTCACCGACGCGCACTGAAGTGCCCCGTGGGAAGTGCCCAGCGGTCAGCGCCACCGCTGCCGCGTCGGTCGCGCCTGTCTAGCTGGCCGCTGCGCGCGCGAGCATGCGCGCGCTTGCGTGGCCGCGGAGATGCACCAGCCAACGGCAAGCACTCATCGCCATCGCCGCCACATGTGTTCTGCGAAGCATGTTGCGGGCGGGCGGGCTGCATGATTGCGCGAGAAGTGGAGTTGACAACTGCGAGTCCCACAACTGAGCCGCACTGCGTATATTGCACCTCATCGTCGACGCCACATAGCTTGCACCACAGATCCTACACCGCATAAGCTGCTCACCTTATACATACACACGTATATATATATACAAACACATTCACATACACATTCACATACACATACACAAACACATACACATACACATACATACATACATACATACATACATACATACATAAATGTTCGAATATGCATATAGGCACACATCTATAGCACCACATAGCTTACCCCCCACGCAGATTTTCCTTCCTAAGGGAATTCAGATCGACCGCCACCCCCCCCCCCCCCGAGCCTGGGTCACCCGCCCCCCTGGGGATTTGCAATTTACACATGATGATATGATTCCACCCTGCCGTTCATCTTCGCAATGAATTCACATAGTCCCAGCCAAGCCGCCCTCGACCCCCCCACCTCATCCCTTGCAGAAGAAGAAAACGATCGACGCGCGCGCTGGTATATCAAGAACCATCAACATGTCAGAACCAGTTGCAGT